CAGGAACCCCTAGGGACAAACGCATTTCCTAACATACTGAACATGCATGTGTATCCATATAATCTCTGTATGAACTCTACATGCTCGTGTATTCAAAGGGATATATCACAAAGATTTGCACATCGCAGCTTTGTCAAGCTCAGGTTTACTGGCGTGGACACACAACACCGCCAAATCCGAGGCCCCTGTGTGTCCACCCTGGTAATAATGGTTAACAGCTGTGCATGCTATCCCGTAGCTGCCTATGGGGGTCTCATAGCTCCGCTGGGTTATATAAAGACTCGCAATTGCACGTTCAGACATGCGGCCTCATGATCTGAGTCATACGATCTGACTAAGGGCCAAGGCCAGTGTATTCTGTCCAAGCTTATGGGACGAAAATATGGTCTAATTACTCAGCAACACCCCATGAATATTATATTACTTTATCCCTAAGAGAAAAGTAGTTTCCGTCCTTCATAAGCTCTGTTGTTAAAATAGTACAGATTGGAGTGACAGAATTAATTGCTCTTAAATCAACCAATTTACTTATGAATTGTTGTTTTGCATTATTCTGTTAAGAAAAATCATTTTAATCTGTTGTCAAAGTGAAAAGATTTAATTACAGTTTTCCTGTTGACAACTGTTTCGGTATTTGTAGCACGATTCATCACGGTAGCATTCGCCGATGTGCTTTGAATGGATCATAATCCTTTGGCTCTTGCAGTGTGATCACCTGTTGTTTGGCCTCCTTTGTTTCACTGCAATAGAAACATATGCCGATACGTGATATATTTTGAATAGTTATCCCCATAATCTTTTATTGTTTGTATTGCATTCCAAATGTGTCACAAGCATCAAGTGAACAGCACTTCTATTTTAAAATGTCTTTCCCGTATGCGATTATCTCTGTATATATCCATGGTTTCACTGTTAAAGTAGCAAACTTATCGTCAGATTTCCATCAGTACCATCAGAGACTTATAGTAATACCACCCCCCCCCCAAAAAAAAAAAAAAGATGCCTGAAATATAAATCTAATGGATCAGCTATTATTTTTGTCCGATTGTCAGTGTGGCGGAGGCATCAATGGAGGGGAGATGGCGATTTTTGCCTCCAGAGCTGGGCTGGGCCCCTGCTGGCACCCAGCGTGCTTTGTGTGCACCACGTGTCAGGAGCTGCTGGTGGATCTGATATATTTCTACCAAAATGGCAAAATCCTCTGTGGACGACACCATGCCGAGCTTCTCAAACCACGATGCTCTTCTTGTGACGAGGTAAGGCTCGCTATTAGTAGCACTGTTTTCCAATGAGCCGCGGCAATACCAGCAAAAAGTCCATAAAGTTTGACAGAATTAACCGTGCTGCGTGCGTTTCCCTTTAGATCATCTTTGCTGATGAGTGCACGGAAGCAGAGGGTCGTCACTGGCACATGAAGCACTTTGCATGTTTGGAGTGCGAGACAATGCTGGGAGGGCAGCGCTACATCATGAAAGATGGCCGTCCCTACTGTACCGGCTGCTTCGAGTCACTGTATGCAGAGTACTGTGAGGCTTGTGGCGAAAACATTGGTGAGTGCTGGTTCGTTTATTTATACGTCCCTGCCGATGTGTTTCTTTGACTACTTGCATAGCAGTACGATAACCTAATAACATGTCACTTTTCCATTCATGCTACGATCCGGTAGGTGTTGACCATGCCCAGATGACCTATGAAGGTGTGCACTGGCATGCTGCGGACCAGTGCTTCTGTTGTGCCCAGTGCAAGACATCCTTACTGGGCTGTCCCTTTCTGCCAAAGCAGGGTCGCATCTATTGCTCAAAATCCTGCAGCCAGGGGGAAGATATTCATGCTTCTGACTCGTCCGATTCTGCCTTCCAGTCCGCCCGGTCACGTGAATCACGGCGCAGTGTGCGCATGGGGAAGAGCAGCCGGCCTGCCGAACAGTGGAGAGAGTCGCAGCTGTTTAACCCCCCTGCTGCCGTACCTTTGTTCGATTATAAGTTTGGCAATGGAGAGGGTAATGGCAATAGAAATGGAGATGCTGATTGCGACGTTGGCATCGTAGGGCGCAAAATGGCCCGTCTAGGCCTGGAGGAGGAGAGGTTCTGGAGGGAGCGGGAGGAGCAGGATGCCGGTGGAGAGGAGGATCCTGAGGAGTGGGCCCAGCACGAGGACTATATGACTCAGCTCCTTCTCAAGTTTGGTGACCGCGGGATGTTGAACCAACTTCAGCAGCCGCCACTGAAATCCCCCAGCCCCTGTGGTGACAGAAACAGGGCAATGACTCTCTCCGACCCCTGGCTCAAGCCTGATTCCACATCTATGGGGGTTAGCCCCTCCTCTCCCACTCCTACTAGTCCCACCCAGAGCCAGACTTCCAATCAATCCCGAGCTAATAGCCACAGCCCTGGATTGATGAGCAAGAAGCACCTGCCTGAAATGTACTGGGCACAGTCCCAGGACGGGTTGGGAGATTCAGCCTATGGGAGTCACCCAGGTCCTGCCAGTGCCAGAAAGATTCAAGAGCTGGAGTTGGACCAGGATCAGGACCAACCTGGGTCAGGGAGACGGGCCTTCTGGCCAGACAACAGGCAGTGGTATGAAGATTCCCTTGAGTGCATCGCTGATGAGCTGAGGAAAGCCGAGCAGTGTGCTGGTGACTCCATGGACTCCCTGGCGCTGTCAAACATCACTGGTAAGGAGGCGGTTGGCCTTATGTGTTCAGGAGGAAAACGTGCTTTCGTTCTCTATCAAACAGTTGTTCAAAACATGTCTCTCCTGCTTGCTCTTTTTAGGCGCTTCAGTGGATGGAGATGGCAGGGATAGACCTATGGTCTACTCACTTGCCCTACAGGATCCCTCAGCCGCAGATGACTGCGAGAAGATGAGCAACATGGGAACCTTTAATTCATCTCATCTTCACCACAGTGACAACTCTCTCAACCTAAACATGGAAAAGGGAGACGAGGAGGTAGCATTGTCCAAGAGGGGAGGCCCTCCAGGCGGACACCTCTCATTGTCCCCAAATTTGGAAGGCCTGCCTCAGTCATTTGTCCATGCCCCGGCTTTGAGGAGAAGCAAATCCCAGTCCAGGCCTCCCCAGATGGTCAAGTTCTCCGAGGACACCGTGGACAATGGATATAATGATGGATTTGATGTCAACATTCGAAAGCATCCCATGAGCGAGAGGCCACAGCGGAGGACGTACTGCCCCGAAGAGATGGGCAGAGAGAGAAGTCGTCCAACCAGCCAGCACGGGCGCAGCAGGCAGCACAACCACCGGCAGGGCCGGCACCACAGGAGCCGCAAGACTCGCTCGGACAACAACCTTCACATGATGCCTTTGGAGAAAGCGCAGAGGCCGTACCAGCCCCAGCAGCAAGGTGTGGCAAACTCTCCATGCGGCGCCATGCTCCTACAGCATCCCGCAAACAGGCTGCCCATGGCCTACTCCCAAACCCGTTCTGACTATATGCTGCAGGGCTCGGCTCAAGGAGACCCACGAGTCGAGAGTTTCATGGGTCTCTACGGAGACGAGGAGGACTGTTGTTCCACTTGTTCCTCCTCGTCATCGGACTCCGAGGAGGAGGGTTATTTCCTGGGCCAGCCAATCCCGCAGCCTCGAGCGGTTGGACGCTACTACGCCGAGGACTACCCTACAAGGGTCACAGCCCTCTCCTCCCAAAGCCACGGCTCACAGACTGGTCGCAGAAAAGGCCACCGCTCCAAAAACTGCATCATCTCTTAACAGCTCAGAGTGCATTTACATTGTAACCTGCAGTACACTAAGCAAAAAAAAAATCAATTCTGGGTTTAGAGAGGCAGTTTGAAGCAAACCATGTGCAAAGACTGTGTTATGCCCTAAACAGAAGGTCAAGATGCATATCAGAATTAAGGCATTGATTTCTTCTTTTGGAAGGTTAAACAGATCTGTATAATATAGTCAGAAAAACTTTTTTTGTGGTGGTTTGTGCAAATCTACCCCAATATACTGGGTCTTAATGAATTTTAGCACTAACACGATGTATGTACTAGTAAATTTGGAAGCCTTTCTTAAGACCAGAATTATGCAGAGTGGCTGAATTTTGAACATTTATTGTTCAGTTAAATGTATCGCAACATTATCTTTGTGCATTATTGTGGATACATATTGAACATAGGAGTCAATAACGTAGAAAATAGAAGCAAACCAAAAAATTATTTAATGCATAATAGTACAAATTATGTATATACTAAGTTAAGATTTAAATACTGGTATTTTTATATCCGTGTTTTAATGGTTTCTGTTGCAGTGTATGATATACAAGAAATGGCATTGAACAAACAAACCTCGTTAATATGTCATTAGAAACCAAGAAGGTGCCACTTCATAAACTGTGCTCTTCACAGTAAAGTGCCAAGTTACTCTAACAATTTCTATAACATTGTTACGCCAATGCTTGGTATACAAATGATGGTACGGCGGGCAGTAACACCTACACTGTCCAAATTCAGCTGAGCTGTTCACTTCTCTCGCTCAGACATAACCAGTTAAATGCTTTATGATGTAAAGACGCTTGTAATAAATGATTTCTTTCCTCAGTTTCCTGAATGGTTGTCCTTTGTTGTCCTGTACCCGGTGTTCATTCAACACTCAAGATTGTGGAGATGGTTTTAACAGGGAGATGTATTGGAGTTTTTAGGATTTTGCAGGGTGGCGTTGGAATCTAAACCTCATGACAAGGGAATTGTGTTAAATTTGCTGCCTTACATTTTGAATTTTAAATTAGTGAATTATTTTTTATGTTTAGGTGAGGCATGTTGCTACATTGTTTTAGGAGGCTATACACAATACTGAAATAGCTAAATATAAGTATAGCTAAAGGAGACACAGTTGGGTATTTATGTAACGTGTGTAGCAAGTAAAAAAATAAAAAAAAGTTGTTTAGGTCAAAAATAATCAGGCTGTGCAGGATTTTCCGAAGGAAATCGAAGTTTGAAAAGCAAATGAGACAACACAATAAGTAACCAAACTGGCATTTCCAGACAGTACAAATTTATAGAACTGTAAATTTAGCAGCACCAAGTCATACATGTGACTGCTACAAAATGTACACAACCGAACATATTAGAAAACAATATCGTCTAATGTGGCTTTCCTTTTAGAAAAGTGTGATCATGCTGCAGGACCAACCAACAATTGTTTTAAATAACAAAACCCACGTGAACCATTTCCATATGATGAGAGACTGAACAACTTGAAACAAGGACAGGTAAGGTAAAAAATGAGTCTGTTTGAAACCAACACTGTTCATCCCCCGGAACGCAACACTGCATAAACTCCGTTTAGAGTTTTTCTTCAGACGGCTCGGTCGTAGAATCGATTCCAGGTCCAGAAAAAACAAAAACAAACATATTAGTGATATCCATTGTGTTCCAGAAGTCCTTCAACGCTGAGTTCTCACGAGGAGCCGAAGGCCAACGCGTCAGTAGGACGAGCCAGTACTGACCCCCGTCTTTGAAAGTTTATGAGCCGTGAGAGCCGTCGACGGGGTGGTCGAGTCACAGACGGAAGGTTCCGACTGCCGGACCACCTCGTCCAGCTCGCCGATGAAGTGGTTCAGTTCCTCCAGGCAACGTTCGCGGATCTCCCCCAGGTTCTCCCTCAGGGGAACTTGCAGCTGCTTCTCCAGGTTGGGGTCCTTGGCCACCAGCATCTTCACCACCATGCCAAATGTCTCGCAGTCTTGCCGGTACACCTGGAGGTGGACAGGAGTATGAGTTTGGAGAAAAAAAAACCTCACCCCAAAACAAGTTGTTAACAGTCAACAGATTTACATCCATTTATATGCAGATTTTAAAGACTTTAAAAAAAAAAAAGGGGTCAACTCGCCCGGGCAAAACCTAAGAAAAGAAACCATCTTAAATGAGAAGATGAAACGGTGTTTCCTTCCTGCTCAACTTGACGCCTAGGTGTCAATATTCCAGCGTCAATGAGCCTGGGCCGATCGTTCTGGTGTCAACACACGTCACATAGTGTCAAAAGATAAACACTCCTCTTCTCAAGTTTAATAAGGGCCCTTTAAAAACAGGACACGGAGGCACAATAAGCATAAAAGCACAGCTTTAGTGGGGTCTCACATGCTTATATCGGGTGTTAGAGGGACAGTGACGAAGATGAGCTGGAATCTTGTTTGGGGGCTGCAGTTTCACACCGTCTCAAATGTCTCGTAAAAAGAAGAGAGACAGGCCCCCAGGAACCACATAAAGTGGTTTGATTGGCAAAAATGCCAAAAACAGAGACTCGTTTCAAACTCGCAATCCTTCTCACGAGTCGATTTCCTTTCCAAATGCAAGTTGATTAAATTTAAGTAAAAGTCCCTCACGGACTCCCTCTCCCTTGTTTTCTGGTTGGCCCTCCATTCCTGCCATCTAATCAGAAACACATCTCATTCCGATATGCTGCTCGCTCCTCTCAGTTTTCTTCCCCATGTCCTTAAACTTGATAAATTCTACCCGACTACGTAGAAGTGAATTGAACTTTGACTTAATAATCCAGCAGGCTACAAGGGCCCTTGTGCAGGCGAGGGGTGTGTGTAAATCTAGGCCTGACGTGGGCGAGTTTCAGTCATTCACTGGATACCGGCGGTGGCTTTCAACCTCACACGCTTATTTAAAGCTTTTCACAATGTTCCTGGAACAGAGCACGTAGGAGTGGAGGACAGATTGCAAATAAAGATCTCCTAATAGGGTGAACCTTGATCCAACAACTGGATGCATTTGTTTCCAGGAAATATGTGGTAAACATAAAAGAGCGTGCTTATGTTTAAAAAAAAAAAATGGCCCCTGATGGCCGCCCTGTCCTTGTCATCTCTTATCAACCTCTAATGGTCTCACTCAACAGCTGGTAACACTGCATTTATACATCAGCTCCTCGGAGGAAGTATACAATCTATGAATACAGGGAGCGTCGTTCCTAGATACCAATGTGCTGACAATGCATTTCCTGTATTCAAGCGCACACCACGAGATCACTCGCTTCTTATCAATCAGGACAGGAAGAAGGCCAGTACTCGACTTTGGGTGGAGTCGGTCCAGAAGCCTCGCTTTCTAAAAGACTAGATTGTCAATAGCGGTGAGGGGAAGAGCGTGTGGGGCGGCCTGGCTTCAGAAAAGAACGAGAGCGGAGGAGTTCAGGGCGCAGTGTCTTTGTACCTGAAAAGAAAAGACACACTAAAACAGTCAGGCTTTCTGTCAAATATATTGAATTCCTTACTAAGTGAAATGAAAGTCCCTTTGTATCCCCGCGTGGCTTGTGACGAGCAAAGCATACAACCTTTTATTGCCTCTCATGCCTTGTCACTCACCACAACACGCTGGCACATAGCGCGGGCCAAAGTCAACCCGGACAACGAGAGCGGTTTCAGGCGGAATTACAGCCGACCGATTTCACTTAGCTACACAAACACACGCCGAGGCCGCCGGCGTAACGCGCCGATGGAAAGTTCAGCTCCTGACAGGGCGCGGGGCGGGGAGACGCGGCGCGAGGCGCTACCGGACTGAGATGGCTAGACCAGATTGTGTAGGGAAAACCAAACATCTGGCCGACACTTGTCAGAGTGGCTAAGTACGAGTGCCCCCCCCCTGCAACTTTGTTGTTTCAGTCAGAAGTGTTTAGCTGTGTGTTCTGGGGCGGGTTTGAAAAATGAATACCGGCCAGCAGACAACTGCTTACTGTATTCCTTCTCCAGTGGCTGGTTGGTTTTGTGTGCCGCTTTGGCAGGTAACCAACTGTCATGTGGAGGCAATTCGCTGAGGTTTTGATTCGGGCTTACAAAAAAGGCTTTATAAGACGATATACAGCAAACAAGACGCGACATATTCAATGCAAAATGTTCATTATCCACCCGGTTGTGTGCGAGCCGAGGAACAAATCTGAATTAACTCACAATCACGACTACACAAGCAGATTATGCTGATGATCAGTTTCTACTGACGAGAACGGATTACACCACTCCTACTGGTTACTCGCTCTAATCTACAGTTTCTCTTAACTCCAGGACAAGATCTGGGGATTTAAAAAGGAAGCGGGCACGAGTCATACAGACAATAGAAGCATGACGAATACATCAACGGTTATTCTTAACACGGGTCCTTTGTAGTCAACCAAAATGCGTACGGTGTGAAATGAAATGCAGCCCACACCAAAGAGCCCGAGGGACCGGGGGATGCACAGACGGAGGGGGGTGTGAGGAGGGGGGGGGGAGGGCGGTGGTGGACAGTCCATAAAACAGGCCAGGAGCTGCAGCGTCAGCGTTCTGACGGCCTAAAGGCTCCGCGGCGCAGCTCTCACAGCGCGCGCTCCGGGGCAGAGCTGGCTCGGGTTTAACGGTCCCAGTAAAGCAGCGGTAGCGCTCGCTGGCGCAGGAATGGCCTTCATTAGATAATCGAGCAGAGCCGACAAGCTCAGGCCCCGGGCGCTTTTAGCTCCACTAAGCTTTTGATTTATTGTATACGCAAATCTATACCGTGCCTACGCTTTGCTCTGGTTGCTGCTTTTGTTTATGTGTTCCCGTAGTATGCACACTATCAAGTGTTCCAAACCTCTGTGTGCGGGCCTTTTTATGTACGTGTGTGTGTGTGGGTCCATACGTGAAGAGGAGTCAAAAACACGGGCGGGAAAGAGAGTTTGGATGTTCTGAGCCGTGTGCAATATTAAGTGGAGCCTAATGAGCAATTGTTGCAGTTGTACCAGGTGAGAGCGGGAGGTGAGCAGCGTCACCGGGAAAACGAACTACGCTTGGCTGGCAGCCACTAAGGAACCCGTCTGCTCTGGAACTGATGTCTGGCTGTCGATTGGCAGGTGGATTTTCGGATGTGCTCGCCATTGTGACCAGTGGACAGAAAAGCTCATTTCCTGCCTCGTTAGGAAAATAATAGCTGGTTGTTCCCGAAATGCCTATCCAGTAAAATCAGCCAGGTGTGAGTCAGACAAGTCGAGGCCACCATATGTACGGGATCCTTTGCCAAGCGTCCAGGGCGTACCGGTGCCGGGTTGGCGTTCATAGAAAAGACGTAAAAACTGTAAAAAAAAAAAAAACGGGCAACTGAGAGCCACTGGCACAAAACGGTCACATTGAATACAGATTAAGAGATTTTATGGTGGGTGACAAATCATCTTTGATCGGATCCTAGCCGAGAAATGTGTGAAACATTTTTCAACTCACCATTTGAATAGCGGCCGGTATTATAACACTGCGCTACATGCGGAATCATTTGATCACTAAACCCTCTTACGGTCGGAATGACAATCTGCCACATGTGGAGTGGATACCTTCTCGATCTCCTTCGCTTTGGCTGTGATGGCCAAGGCTCGTCGCTCTTGAACGTTGTCGTCCGGGGACGATTTCTGGCTCTCCTCGACGGCTGGAGCCATCAGAGGCTCCTCCTTTTCTCCTTCGAGAGGATGGTTCTCCTCCTACAGCAAATAAATAAATACGGAAAAACGTAAGGGAGAAAGCGGTGTGAGTCATTGCGCAGAAAAGTGAACAATCTATGCGTGCAATCCAACCACACAGAACGGGGAAGGAAGGTCAAAGGTCGCAGGTCAGCGACTTGAAGCTATGACCCGACCTCCTGAGTGACCCGAGTGTTTAACTTCACAGGAAAGACGTGGTTGACGAGGCGTACCAAAAGGACGAAGCTCCGCTTCTAAAAGCTGACAAAGTCACCGTATCCTCTTGTGGGATTTGCCGGCATTACAGCTGGAAGAAGCAGCAGCTCGTATGCCGCATCTTAATATTCTACACTGTCCGCATTACTGAGCAAATGATCACTAAACCTGCAGACTTGGCGCTGCACAAGTTGTAGAATTTGTTATTTCAGACGTTTTTAATTATCTTACGAGGAAATCTGTCCCGGAAGGTCACAGTGATCCGTCCATTGGATAGATTGGAAACTAGTGCCCACAAGTACAAATGTGAAAGTCGGAGGAAAGAGCAAAGGGGCGAAATGAGGCCAACTCGGACCACTGCTCAATTTCTCCACTATGAAGAGTTTGAAGGCCAGGGAGCAGAGCTGCCCAGCCATGACTGAAGTCCACTCATACATCACGGGAAACGGGCCACGGACAAAGTCATAACATCAAATCTCTCGACGAGTGAGGAAAAGACGTCAGAGAGGACGGTGCATCACCAAGCAGAGCGTGCTCTAAAACAACAACTCATGAAAAGCATCATCCAATTATTCCCCTCCGTCCAATTCTGTCCCCGGAGTTTTGCTCGGGACGAGTCCAGCGTGTGTGTTTGTTAGCGTACGGCCTCCTTAGCCTCATGGAACAAAAACCCATCGCTGTCCGAGTCTCTCACTTCAACTCGCTGGGCACGGCCCAACCCCAAAGGGATGTTAGAAAGCTTGGCAGATATATTTAGTATGGGTCATTTCTTTTCAATGCAATACTAAAAATGATTTTCATAAATGAAAAAAAAAAAAAAAAAGGTTGTTAGACCCAATTATGTGGTGAACCATGAATTTCAAAGTAATGACTCCCGAGTCAGTTCATTTTAAACGACCCCTGTTGGGCGGGGAAGGTGGGGGTGGGATGGGGGGGGTCTATTCCCTCCGCTGAACCAGTCGCAGTTATTACCATCGTGTTATCCTATTTAATGTGTGAAGTGGTCATAATTATTAGCAGGCACGTTCGGGAGATTTGGCCGAAGACGCGTTGCGTGAGGTCAAAGAGACCTTGAAGAAATTGCTTCTTTGAACGGAAACCAGCTCTGGCCCACATGCATAAGGTGGGGACGGCGCTGGGGGAGGAGTGGTCCTCTGACCGCTCGGGTTACCGTGTGCCTTGTATGAGGATGAAACCTTCTGGCGACCTTTTCAGCTACAGGTTACGCTCTCCAGCCACTACTCCACGACAGCTCAGAGCCACAGCGGGAGTCCCCCATCCCCTCCCAGTCTGGAACGGCTGTGTGTTTGTGAGAGTGTTTGTTGAATCCCAGCAGCAGGCAGTGGCAGGGGCCTTAAGTGCAAGCTTTACTGGGGGCACAGGCCTTTCATCTTGGCCAAGGTTATGGGTCTATGCCCCCAGAACAGAACATAAAACAATGCACCACAGGCTAGATCAAACAGCAAAAAGCTGCAGTGTGGATCAGTGTGTGTCTGGGTGGAGTTGATTGGGAGGTTCTTACAATAATGCACATAAAGAGGAGAGAAGAGGGCTTTGTTTCTCTCTATCTAGTCATTCCTAAAGAATAAAGCAAGTGCACAGATTTGAAAAAGACATCAAAGTGCCCGCTGCGGCCCTCGAGAGGACGATTCAGTGGAAATATGACAGCATGACAATTTACCACCAGTGTGCTCTGAAAAAGATCCAAGGGCTGCTAATGAGATAAATAAAAAGCGTTATTGGGTAATAAAGCAGCATCGGAGGTTGACGTTTCCGAGATTATTTCGATCAAAGGGAATTTTTGCCCATTATGTCGTAGCTTTTCCGAACGTGTGCCTCAAAATGATCAAAAGCATCCATCCCATAAGCGGCGTTACACACGCCGGCTGTTAGTGGCTCATCACAGCTGTTACACATCAATTCCCACTGATGCTTCAACCACCGGACAGTCTAGTCAACCACTGCCTTCAGCAGGCAAAAAAAAAAAAGAAAGTAAAGGAAACGATTGTTCATTGTAAGTGGTGTAAACACACCTCAATGAGTTCCACAGGGTGGCAAGTCAGGGACCAAGATCCCGCGATAAAACAGGGGGGACCTCGGCTACCGAGTTAGCCGCTTCGCTTCTGGGTGGCCGCAGCCAGACGCATTGCGCCTAATCACATCTGATTCCTCTTACACTCCTGCGCGTAGTTGGGCGACGGATGATATCAGCGGCTATTTGCGACGCGGGCGGGAGGGATCTACAGCCAGCACTCGCTCAAAACAGTAAAAAGTAGATTTGTTGTTTGTTTTTGTTTTTTTAAAAAGGAGCACTTTAAGGAAGCGCTCGTACGTTCGCCGGCACTAGAGCCCCTTTCGTTCCATCGCTGAGAGTTGTGGTGATTGAGGTCTGCTTACAGCACAGGTAAACAAAGCATAAGGCCCGATGGCTTTTATGCTCTGCGTGAGGGCCACTTTAAAACCCATTAACATACTTCAAATGGGACGAAACACTTATTACAAGGACGGAATCAAAGAAGTTCCAGATGCATCCTGCTGCACGGTGACAACGACGGGGACCGTGATGTGTAATAAAATAGAGCTGCAATTTGGAGGTTGAACTGCAGCACTTATATAATATACAACAATTAAAATAAGCTTTACACTGTCAAAGAGAGGAGAAGGTCTGTGTTGTCTTTATGTTAAATTCAAGCACAAAAGACCTGCAGTATCACGGTTTGGTACCTTGTTTGAGGTTGCGCTGTGTGGCGAGCCTTCTCTTGACAGACCGGGGATTTTATCTGAAGAAAAAAGAAAAGAAAAAGAGAAACGACAAAACAGTTGGACAAAGTGAGACTTGAGTGAGGCGCAAAAGATAGATCGAAGGAGAGAAGAAATTTGTTGGAAAAAAGGACATGTATTATTAGTATGTTCTTAAAATGGCTTTGTAAGAAGGTGTAGTTGGTTGGATCTGGGATCCGGACAGGTACGGAGGATAGAACATCTAGAAAAACATCAAGGTACAGTTGAACCGGACACAACCTCCTCTACGGCTTTTTATTTGTCCTTCCACCAGCTTTTTGTCTTACAGTCCAACACGGGACTTCGTAGCCGACTAATCAAGTCTACCCACAAACACGCATCACGCTCAAACAAAAACACCCCGATGAGGAAGCTTTGGCTTCAGGAATATCCATCAGACATCCTATAGCCTTTGCCTCCTCGTCCACACACACGATCTGGTGGCATCTTTATGAGGCCTGACAAAGTGGCAGACGGAGCGGGGAGGACGGCCGGCTGCTGGACACATTACAAACCACTCGGCGTCGCTCAGGTTACCCATACTGGGAATAGGTTAAGTTTAACGAGTGTAACCTTTGTACGTTTCTGAAACAAATCCGCCGGCATGGAATTTCACCTCGCCCCCGTCGATTTGGAGTGAAGAAACTGGAAATGTCCGAGTAGTCATTTGATTTAAATTGAGGAAACTGCTGGCAAACTTTCCAATCCTGTCCACAACTGTACCTACAAGTCATTTTTCTCTGAGAATAGGTCTCAGCAGGAGGACCGACCGGGGAGGTCACTGGCTGTGGACCTCGTAACTAGGCCTCCTCCTCTGACAGCAATCAAGCAAGAACACCCACTGCTCTGTTACTCGCCTATAAAACATCATCAGGGCCGTTATGTTCTCCTTTCACGAGGTTTGAACATTTGAACACATGTGGCAGCAGCTTTTTGTCACATAGCAACCACTTGTCATTTAAAAAAAAAGAGACAAAAGAAAAAAGGTCCACTGATCTAATTACAGACCACTAATTAAATGAAAATTGAAGGGAAAAAAACAAGCAAGGAGTGAAGGATAGCACTGGAGAAGGTAGCAGACCTAAACCACATTGTGCCACGTGTGGAAATAAGGAGCTTGGGGTATATAAAACGTGCAGAAAACAAAAAAAAGATTACACTAGCATTCATCCATTTTACAGTCCAGTTAACCAAAGATGTATTGCTGATGTAATGTAAACACGGTGCAGTAAATGGCCAACGTCAGTAACATAAATAAAAGATGGACCTGATTAAACCGGGCGGTTGCCGCACCGCCTGCATACAAGTTCTTGAAAAACAGCTTTGACATGGACTGTAAACTCCACCGCTCCCTCACAACACCTTATCAAAGGTATTATTTCCTGAGCCGACAGCGGGGGGGCCGAAGGACGACCGAGGGGAGAAAAATGTTGAAAAGAAGCGGTTTAATTTCCTCGGTTGGTCTGGATAATTACTTTTAAAATCTCATCTCCAAACCCAGAAATTCCAACGGCGTAGATTTACAGGTCAGCGTAGGAACAGTGGGAAGTGCGAACGTACCTCCACGACAGATAGAAATGGGAGGAGGGAAGTTACCACTAGCTACCAATCAAGAAACAGAATTCATGATGCAACTCAGACCTGAGTGAAACAATTTGAGTGTGAAATAAGACTTCTATGTTGTATTGTGGTCCGAATTATTATTGTCAATTATTCTGAGCGGATGTATTATGCTTTTTTGCATGTTTAAAGTGGATTTCAAAACCGATTCATTCTGTCCTCCATCCCTCGCATCCTTCGAGACTGGAGAGCTACAATATTCGCTTCTAATGTTTCTCTGACGTGACAAGGATGCAAGGAGACGTGAGGAGGAACAACAAGCCTGCGCGGTCGCGGTCACTCAGGTCCGAGCTTGCTCACATGGTTAAAATGTACAGACCCAAAGTTTCAGGTCCGCTCTGTAGAGGAAAGAGCGCCCCCCAATGGTGCTCAGAAACTCCCTCTGGACCGTCCACATCTGAAAAGCCAGCCAGCCAGTCATGGGGGAGACGGTCAAATAAAAGGATGAAAAATGACAATGAATGTACTTTTTTGGTGTGGGGGAAGTGAGGGGGCGGCGCTGTTCTCAACTTAAAACCTGATCTGTAAACACCTCAATCATCTTTTTCAAATTGCTTTCTACACTCAGAGGAACTCAGAGGACTCTACATACCCTTGCTCTGCTGTAAGGGGAACGGCAGCGTCTTGGCTCGGTCCGGCGAGTAGCCCCTGCTGCTGACGCTGGAGCCGGAGCGACTGTGGGGGGATCGGGGGGCGTCGCGGCGCACGGGAGAGCGCTCTCTGAGCGGGGGGAAGGGGACCGCCTTTCTCCTGTATTGGTCTCTGTCCTCCCTGGAAAAGCACAGGGAACGTGTCGGCTGTCATGAAAATTTTAAAAACACCATCAAGTGTTTTGGTGAATGACAAATGATCCCCTGCAATCCGACAAAACAGGAGTCAAGGGCCAGATGTTGCAATAAACAGGCACTTTGCACTTTCTTATTTTGTCCCAACGCAGCACAACACCACCATCTAGTGTTGGGTTTTAACGAACTCCGCCCTTCCCCTGACTGCAGCATTAGAAGGTTGCAATGACTTAGCCGTGTGCAACGCACACATTGCACATATATGCCCCATACAGTGGCTAAGCATGTACGCATGCATTCGTTCATTTGTTCGTACCCTCTGTCCAGGTTGAGGATGGCTTGCACTAGTGTGTCTTCCCCACTCTCTGGGAGCGATCGGGCCGCTGGGTAGATGCCCTGGGTCCGCACGCTGTGAGGGGGGGGAGCACGGGCGCTGAGGGAATGAGCATGCACAAATGTTATGGTCAGTAAATGACAACTCAATGAGGTCCATTTGTTAAAAGGGAAAAACAGCAGTGCTATCGGGATTGTTTCGGTTCGGATTTGCCTCGCTGTGATCCCTCATCCCAGAAGCTTAGAAGATTTGCTTCTTCGTTTGGCAAAAAAAAAAAAAGTTCCTCCAACTATTATGGTTATGACTTTACACAGAACACATGAACAGCTAAGATAAAGGAAATGCTTCCACACTATCAATACTGCTAATGTACAAGAACCAAAAATGATTAAAAAAAAAATAAAAAAAGTCCACACTGACCAACTACAGGCATTAGATTTTGAGGTATATCAATGTTTAATGTGTGTGCAGGTGGTCTCATGCGAATAAAAATATCTACTGTGTGGAGCATTTAGTTTGTGCTTCACAATAACAACATTAATCTCCTTGAATAAAAAGACAGCAGGTACATGCATCCAGCATCCTGCTTTCACCCCTGCTTGCATGTCTATAACATCTTGCCATGTCTTCTCCTCCCACCATGTCTCATTTTCAAAAGGGCCGCTGACCTTTACCGACACCCTCCTCTAATCAACAGGCCGGAACTGATCTTAGAGGTCTTTCACAGCTCTAGATGTCTGTTTGTGGTAAACAACTGTTTCACGTAGTACCCAGTTGGAATTCTTAGAGGACCAACATAACAAGCAGGTAAACGGACGATGCCAACTGTGGTTAGTTCGGGGAAGGGTCTTCGCTGGTTCACAGTGGCTGTCAAACGGTCATATGCTCTCACCATAGTGCCTGATGGAAGCATGGCCCAGGGTTTGGAGTAAATATGGTCAATAAAAAAATATACATTAACAAAGTAATAATAATCTGTGGCCTTACTGGGGACACTGTTGAGCACCAATAGGTCAGCAGAGGTGGGTCTAACTTGTACAAGTGTGGAGCAAGGTGAGGAACTAGACCACCACGACTGTGGGAAGGGTGAGACAGGCCGATACGGGCAGGGTGAGGCAGGTTTTATTTTTTGGAAGAAACTTTAGTTTATCAGTTTACCCAAACTCCAAAGGTCGCCCTGCGTGTGGGTCTTCCCTGGGCACTCTGTAAGGGTACTCCTCCTACACAATGGAGAAAATGTCAATCAAATGATTTGATTATAATCCTAAAAGGGAGGTGTTAAGGAACCTATCAATGATTAATCTGAAGTTCTTAAATTAAATTGTTTGTGTAACTTTATCACATCTACACTTGCCGATGTAAAGCTCTTGAATGTCATGGATTCATGACCATCTAACTCATATATATGAGGTTGCTAATAAATACCTTTATTACTTACTTTTGTATGTAATAAAGTGTGTGTCAAGGGAAATGTCACTCGTTAGACAATCAGCTACAATAACGATGGAGAAGACTACTGCAAAAAAAGGGAAGGCTTGAAAATATCTCAACTTTAACCTTCCACTATAGGGTCTATAAGATGCTAAGAATTTTGTTGTGACTGAACATCTTGTTCCCAACAGTCTGTCCCTCTATTTCAGTCATCTCGGTTTGGATTTACGCTCATATATTTATTTTAATTGAGTCTTGCAATCATCAAACAAGCAACTTTCTTTCAGAGGAAAGGCAGTGTTTGGAAGTTCTTAACGACAATAAAAACATTAATTGTCATGTCCTCACCCTCCTCGAAGGTGGAACGGCTCGGCGCTCAGCGGGGAAATGAACGTTGTCCCCATGGTAGCCCCTCTGGTCTTCGTGATAATTACGTGGTCCTCCTCCATTTGGAAAAAAGCGCGGACCTGCTTCATATTCGTACCCGCCACGGCCATAGTCGTCCTCCGGCCTGCCAAAGGGTCCCCTTCTCTCCGCTGTGCCAACTGCCCGTGGGTAAGGACCCTAAGCAGGAGGAGTACACGTTTTCGTATTTATCTATCAACTCAAATTGCTCTTAATTAAATCAGCCACAGCAAAGCCTCAGTGTACTTTGAAAAGAACCAGTTTGTGTGACGTGCTGTCCGACACCGTCAGGGACAATGAGATTTATTGGGCAAATACATAATCAAAATAAGTATTGGACTGGTTAGCTGTATTTCAGCCCTCCTTCAGCAAATAATTCATACAAGCTGCTTGAAAGACAAACGTGTTTTTCTACTTGCTTGTCTTCGTGTGGTCACTATGTACATACTCACCGGTCTCTCTGGCAAAAAGCGATCCTCATAAACCTCCCGTATATTCCTTTCTCTCCTGTATGTCACTGCAAAAGGAAGACGATGATATATAATTCGTATTTGTACATGCAACCGTGCAGGTGCGGTTCCACAAAAAAAAAACAGGAAAAGCAGTTTCTGTATGTATTGACCGTGTGTTTGTCCTTGTCAACGTCTTTATAATGCAATACTTCAGTAATAAACGTTAACTAAATATGCAAGAACATGAGGAGGATTGTTTGGTTCGAATTCAATGACCAACAAACATAATGGTCAGAACTTTCTATAAAGCATTTAGGTTTTTCCCAAAGTCAGTTGTTGCCACAATGTATAGAAATGTTGAATATTGTCAATATTGTTGCGTGCACTATTTGGTTAGATATCTTTTGGGCTTAGGGTCCTTTTGTCGTTGTCGTCCTCTAGTGTAAGAACAAAACAGTGTTGGATGAATGTAGTGTAAAGCAAGAGTTTGATCCCAAACTTACTTTTGGACTCAAGGACCTCTGTGGGTGATTTAGAGAAAACACAATCTTCAAAAAAAATCTGTAAAAAGATCATTTCTTTCAATCAGTGTCCAGGCTATACACATGGAATACGTTTTCATGCAACTGTTTGGGAAATAGTTGCTGGTTTGATTTGCTACGTAAAATGAAGCCGGTAATACTGCTTGACTGAGATGTGATCAAGCAGCTGAGCTGTACAATAGACTGACGTATGGGTGGATCTACGTTGGACCACCAACAACACATTAAGCATAACACTACATCACTAACAACACGCAGTCTTTAAGTCACAAGGAGCACTGCAATTTGATATTTCGTGGGGAATTAACTACCAACTACTTCGCCGTTAGCTCCGCATAGAACGGCCAGCTAGCGTTGCTAACTAGCTCAAGTCTATGTATGCTCCAAACATCCACACGTTATATTTCATGTGATAACACGTTAACTAATCTATGCCGACATACAACACCCAACACATTTATTTACGCCGAAAATAACGCATAACCTGGATCAATATGTGTTCAATAACTCACATTAAAGGGTCCTTTATTCCACACGATTTGAAAAACAATCTCACCTTCTACAACCGTTTGGTTAGCATAGCCTCACTGGTAGCTAGTTACATGGATAACGTCTGTTTTATTGGACGAGGAATGAGCTGCGTCATAAAGCTGCGACAGACAGACGGCTCGTTTGTTTCTTTTCGCTGAACGTCAGCTTCACACGAATACACACAAATACATTATTTTAAACACATTGCGATATTTTTCAAACCTTGGAGGGTGTGTTGGTAAGGTCTTTGGTTAATGTATTCTGCTGCTCGCAATTACCTCACGTTAAAATATGTAACGTAATATGAATGGTTGATTTACCAAACTAGCAAAGTAACCGGACGTGCATTGACCTATTTAACTTCACTACGTCACGTTATACGATAATTTGCCTGTTTTTTTGGTCTTGCAGTGTGACACACGCTTCCACTATGAGCGGGGGTTTGGCACCAAGTAAAAGCACTGTGTACGTGTCGAATCTGCCATTCTCTCTTACCAACAACGACTTACACAAGGTAAGTACCAGCACCCCTCGTTGGTGTGGCCAGTGTAATGAAATGTTAATAATTCTTTATTGAAACCGATACCGTTGTCTCATTTCAGCTTTTCACCAAATATGGAAAGGTCGTAAAGTAAGTAATATCTTTATTGTGGTGTATTTATTATGTCTTACAGCAATGTGTAAGCCCAACAGCTGAGCGAAGGAGACACATGTTTTAAAATGGGTATTAATAACTGTCATGCTTCATGCAGGGTTACAATTGTTAAGGATAAAGATACTCGCCAGAGTAAAGGGGTGGCGTTTGTTCTCTTCCTGGACAGAGAATCGGCTCATAACTGTGCAAGAGCAGTCAACAACAAACAGGTGAGTCCGTCACATAAAGAGCACTGAGGTTCAAATACCGCACGCCGCTGAGGTTGTGTTTGATATTCACACGGCCGAGTTTCTTATGTGTTTGTTCCCAGTTGTTTGGCAGAACAGTGACAGCGAGCATTGCCAAAGACAACGGCCGAGCAACTGAGTTTATAAAAAGACGGAACTACACAGACAAGACTAAATGTTACGAATGTGGGGTCAGTGCCTTTGAACATTTATTTCTGTGAGTTTAAATTATAGTCGCAAGTATAATCTGTGTTTCTGCCTGAATGAAAAAACACATATAACATATATATATCCTTAAGATAGTTGACTGATTTTGTGTGTTTTTGGATGAAACATGGCAGGACACCGGTCATCTGAGCTACGCATGCCCAAAAAACATTCTGGGAGAGAGGGAACCTCCAAAGAAGAAAGAAAAGAAAAAAAAGAAAAAGGCTGAAGAACCCGAGCCTGTGTAAGTCTTTAATAGCTTATATTGTGAGATCTTTCATGTCAGGAATCAGGAACATTTATTGCCAAAATATGTTAGACATGGCGGTCGGTGCATAACATTACAGGAAGACAATGGACAACTGTGTTGTTAGTGTATGCCAAAGCTTCAGGGACCTAGAAGCTTTGGCAGGTTGAATTTGAAATTTTTTCAGCTGCCTCTGGAAGAACGACCTCTGCTGAGCCGATGGAGCTGATATTCAGCTCGCACTTGAGGTCCTGTGTGATGATGGAGGCCAGAAGACGGAAGGAATCCACAGTGGTGACAAAGTGAGATTGGGCTTTTTTCGTAATTCTTAAGTCTTTTCCCCTTTTTTTTTAATAGTCAAGAAGAAGAAGAAAGCGAAGAGGAGGGAGAGGACCCAACCTTAGATAGTTTGAGCCAAGCCATAGCATTTCAGGTAAGCAACATACTCCGTCCCCCCCATAAAACATGCCATACTATAACCTTTTTTAAATCATTTTCTTGTGGCCTTCAATGCTATGACATTGTTATAGCGCACTATACTATACTATGATCCTATAGCAGTTTATTTCTTCTGTCCTTTTTGCCCCATCAGCAAGCCCGTATTGAGGAAGAGGAGACTAACAGGAAGCAGGCACGTCTGTCTCAAGAGGAAGGTGGTCACGCTTCAACATCCTCAGACTCTAGGAAACCAAGGATCAAAAAGAGTGCATACTTCAGTGACGAGGAGGAGCTTAGTGACTAAATATATAAATACAGTTTGGCCAACGTTGGTTGTCAAATTGTGCTTCTTTTTATTGTATAGTGTGGATGCTTTCCATATTTACTGATGAAATGCAAGTTTCTTCCTTCCCCTACAGAGAACTAACACATTTTCTTTCAGTTTCAAAAATACCCCAATTGTTCTCAGGTTGAATGTGGTTTTTTGTGTTGTTTTTTTTACTATTTCAATCCATAAGAACTTGTTTTCTACCGGTAAACCAAAACAATTTTTGGTCGTTGTGGTGTGAAATGTGGAATCAGATCAAGGATCCTGAAGAGACCCTTCTTAGCGCGATGTAAATATCCATTCGTATATGTTATTGATCAATTAGTGGATGGATTCCTTTTTTTCCTTTTTTACATACAACTTATCTTGACCATAAAATAACAAGGTTTGTTCTTTTAAGGGTTAAACAATTGGATTAAAAACTGTTCCGTTTCTTGTGGACATTGTGTGTATTATTATACATCCCCATAACGCATACTTGAAGTCTAAACAGATTCACTTGATATCCAAATATGTGAGAGTCCCTGTGGCCCTGAACATTAAAAAAAAGCAACATGATAAATGACAGTTACGGTATAGAGGTTTGCTTGGAAATGTGTTTTCTGATGTTCCATTGCGTCAGCGCGGACATGAATGGAGGGCTTTCCCGCTGTTTAATGTGCTCGCCTGTGATCCACCTGCTGCGGCAATTCTGCAGACTTTGAGTCCGATGCTGTGAGACGAATGCCGGTAGATTGAGAATGATAAGAGGTTAACACATTGCGGTTGATGCGACGTTATCTTCTACACATTTCTGTTGCATTCATGATGTATATGTAAACAGACAGTAAATCATAATTAAAATGTTATGTTCCGTGCCTTTTCTCTTTGAAAGTTACACTGTATGGACAAATACCAATCAAACTCCGTATGATATGGTGTTTTTTATGAGACTGTGTGTAAACATGGGTACACACAGCTAGTCAGCGTAGAAACTGCCTGTTAACGTGTTGCGTTTTTCCAAAGATAACCCAATTCATGTAATACCATTGATATAAAAAACACCCTCAGTACACATAAGTACGAGCTCACAAAGGGTACCGGAAGGCGGCATGTATTCATCAAGAGGAATGTCAGCCTCGGAAGTAACCCGGCAGCTGATTGGCCGAGGCAAACCACGTGACCCTTTCCCGAGCGGAGTTTCCACGACAGCTGGAAGCCGAGCGGCACGGGCGCACCGCTTCTCTGCTAAAATTATAGGAAATAACACGGCTGCTGCTCGTCTCACCACCTCCAGATAAACCCCGGTCTGGCATGGGCGACAAGAGGAGTCCCACAAGGTAACGACCGAGTCATTGGGGCCGAGATATTCAAGCTAGGAGAGGGGAGCGGACATCGACAAGCGTACGAAAAAAAATGGGTTTTCTCCACGGTCTCTCTCTCTCTCGCCCCCCTCGCTCTTCATTCGCTCTCTCTCTCTCTCTCACTGCATGTGTCTGTGTTCGCGTGTGGGGTCGCTTGCGTGCGCGCGGGTGTTAAAACCTCGTCGCCAATCGCGGTGTCGGATCACGGCGCGCTCGCAGATGTTTTCCTAAACCCTACGGGTTGACCCCAGATGTTTGCCATCGACAGCCTTCGTGGATGCGAGGCGAACTCACTGTTTTCTCCTCTCGCCCCCCCTCCCCTCGCCTCCTTCTCCCTCCTCCTCCTCCTCCCCCTTGCTCTTCCCTCCCACCATCTCAACGTTTTTTTTCTCTCTCTCCATTTCTCCCCCCCCTCCTTTTTTTTTTTGTTTGTACATCTGATTGGTTTTTTTTTTTTTAAAGGCCGAAGCGTCAACCGAAGCCCTCCGACGAGGGGTTCTGGGACTGCAGCGTGTGCACGTACAAGAACACGGCGGAAGCTTTTAAGTGCATGATGTGTGATGTCAGGAAGGGGACGTCAACAAGGTAAGGCGATGCATCTACACGCGCGCGCGCGCACACACCACCACCTTCTAGTCTTTACTGCAATGGTGGGTCCCCGAGGGGGGGTTCCTTAGGGGACTCAATCCGCCAGCCCCCCCCCCCCCCCCCCCCTCCCCCTCCCTACCCCGCCTTCCACAGAGAACAAAATGAGGAACCGTTTAATCCCCCCTCCCTCTCCCTCTGTCTAAGCAATTTGTGCGTTTGCCTTAGGAGACAATGGATCAAGGTAATGTATATCTTTTCAGATGTTTGAACCCCCCCCCCTGCCGATACTATTCTATATGGAATACAGAAACAAACACGTTGTGCGCCAATCGTGTATTGTAGTTTTTTTTTTCTTAAACTGCATTTGTGTTTTGATATTTTTTTTTTTTGCAAAGGAAATACACGTATTACTTTATCTGACTTTTAGTCAAGCGCATGTCACTGTCCTTATTTCCAATGTCCACCGAGCGGCGCATTAGTCTCCATGTTCCTCCTCTCGTTCACACTGACCTCCGTGAAATGAGGGAAGAGAGATGGCATGCTCTTTAAACACACACACACACACACACAACCATGTTGCCCCGGAGATATTCGTAACAGACGGGAGGGGGATGCTTCCAATACGCACGCACATAAATTCACACACACACGCGCAAATACACAGCGTGTATAGGTGCGCGCACTGGTTGGTATTTAGTCCTGACAGCAGTGATTGGAGGCAGGAAATGACTGTTATTCCTGAGTGGCGGACATTACCAGGATGAAAACACAACAAAGGGTGAAGGAAAGGAAGTGTAACCGTTTGCTCTGCCTGTGTGTGTTGTAACACGACCTTCCTCTTTAATGTATCCACTCCTGCATTAGCACAACTTTCCTCAGCGATTTAACTACAACAATAGCACATCAGAGCGGTTGTCAGAGCTTTGATGGCTTCTCAGAATTGCGGCGTTTCCTTGTGTGTCGCTGCACTTGAGTGCGTGCGTGTGGGAGGGCGAGTTGTGAAAGGAGGTTGTCAGAGCAGCTGCCAGACAGACAGCCATAGCTCATTACTATGCAACGGCTTAATCAGCCCGCTGTCATCAGAGACACACACACACACGCACAGTCAACATGCAAATTTTCCACATGACTGCATGCGTGTTCGTAGACACACACAGACTCAAGTGCACAGTTGCCCCTCGCCACAACAAAGCGATTGAGCGGCAGACACGCTGTTGTCATAGGGTTCAGCTTATTGCAGTTGGGCGTTGATTGTTGAAAGGACACTCCAGGGACTCTGTGTGTGTGTGTGTGTCTGTGTGTGTCTGTGTGCGCACCGCTCTAAAAGCAAGCGACTCACTGCTTTGCCAAAAACCTGTCCGAATCCTCACGTCACCCAAAGCTGTGACATTCTTTGTATTGCCCCATCTGGGCATTTCTTTTTTGGGGGTGGAGGGGAAGTTGGCAACAGCTCCTCGCTGAACCCTGACAAGTCTACAATCGAAAAAAAGAGGTTTGATATAAAAGTTAGAAACTGCAATGCTGCAGATGGCGTTTGTCACTCTCCTCCCTAGGCCGCACGCCGGCTGACACTGCAGCAAAATGGCAACACAGGTGGTCGCAGCTGGTAAATGAGCGACCCCCCCCATCCGTGGGTGAGGGGGGGGTGATGGCCCTTCAAGAAAAAGTGACGTTGCAGAGGCGCGAGAGAAACATCTGAGGTTGCACATAGCCGGCTGTCAGAGCGAGATGAATGTTTTATGGGGGGAGGGGGGGTGGCAGATCTCTCTGATGCGGGTAGATGATCTACCGGCGGGCTGGTTGATAAGCGTGTGGTGGAAGGCCCCCGCGAGTTTGACTGAAGAGCGAAATAAGAGCGCGAGACGAAAGAAGGAAGCGGCCGACGTTTCCGCTAATTCCATCAGCGGCTCGGGAACTTGTGATGGATGGATGGATGGATGGATGGATGGGGGCGGGGGGGTCGAATTTGAGTAGAAAATGAATAATCAAAAAAACAAAAACAGAAAGGAGTGTTTAAATGTTCTCTCTGCTCCTAGATTTTGTAAAAAGGGAAATGAGCGCCGGCCGCAAACCTGATGGATTCGTGCTGAGTTGTTGATCTGCTACCTCTAATTAAAGCCGTCTTTTTACCACAGCTCACATCACGCAGCCTCATTACCGTTTTGAAACTTTGCCGAGGATGAAGGAAAAAGTGGAGGAGACATTTCATCTCCCCGTGAGTCTTTTGAAGAGCCGCGGCGCGACGGATGAAAGTCCCATAGGGGTGGCACCTTTCGAGGGGGGGGGGGCGATGGTTGATGAAGGGCAAGGTCACCGGTTTGATTCCCACGCAGAGCTTCCTCGAGCAAGACGGTCGCCCCCTTTTTCTCGCTGCACCCGTCACGGCTCATCCAGGAAATAAAGAAGAAAAATAAATGATGGCAGACATGTGTGAATAGGCCGGTGATGTCATGCGAAGCAGTGCTGACAGACGTATTTGGCTGATCTTTGTGTGTGTGTGTGTGTGTGTGTGTGTGTGTGTGTGTGTGTGTGACCTTCTCCTGTGTCTGGCCTACCCCACCTGCATTTGCTTTTCCCTGAGCACGTTGGGCCTGCTGGGGGAAGATGGTGGGGGGGCACTGCGCGTTCAGGAGCCTCTACAGCGGCATTCTATTTCTGCAGGTCGGGACAGCGAGCGCGATCATGTGCCGATTAGTCTTCCCCCTCCCTCCCTCCCTGCCTTAGGCTCTCATTTGCATTCACATTTTCTCTCCCCCTCTCTCTCACACACACACACACACACACGTCCTGCCTCCCTCCCCAGGAATTGAACTTAACCAGAGGCGTCTCTCGGTGACAGTTTGAGTGATGCCGGCTAAACAAGCACCACCAAGCCTTTCTGGCTGACTTGCAAACTGTCAGCGCCTGTTGGGTCGCACTCACGGTTCTTGTAGTTTCGAGGTGGGTTTTAAAACCCCAAAGATGTTAACTGAAAACGTAAAACGTAGCCAGCAGAATTTGGGGGATTATATCAAAAGAAGACGGCGATTGATCAAATGTCAACTGGGTGAATTAACAACAATTAGTACTGCAGTTGAAACAAAACAACTAAATCCTGTCGTAGATTATTGTAATTCCATTGTTGCCTGAACCTTCGTAAATAAGCCGGCGATCAGTTGTCGCGGATATCCATTATGTAAAGATGAGATAGTGATCAGCTGCTGGAGCCATCTGGTGATGTGAAACCGTGAATCGAGTTACAAGTTTATCTTCAAAGCGGCCGAAGGGGAGGCTTCTAAACTCGTGATCAAAACGCAATGCAACATGTGTATCACATCGAAAAAACTAATTATCTCCTCAGTTTATTCTGTAAAAGTAGCCGAGATGTAACCGCCGCTGGAATACTAATATACTACACTGAAATGAATGCACACCACGAGCACCCCCCCCCTGGTTCAAATGAGGTCGCCCTCTTGGAAGTCACGCGGTGAGAGTCACGTGGGCTTTGTGCAGCCACGAACGGCCCGAGTGCACGCCGGGGACAATGAAGCTGGCAGTTATCACGTCACCGAGGCTCAAGATTAGGGCTACGTGATAAGCCCGTAATTACTGCGGTGACACTGATGCATGACACGCTGCTGTGTGCGTGCGTGTGTGTCTGTGCGAGAGTGAGAATGTGGTACAGCGTGGCTAGCAGGCAGTGGGAGGTGTCATAAACCACAGGACGGGCCGAGGCCATCTGTCTCTCTCTCTCTCCCTCTCCCCCTCTCCCCCCGCCTGCACACGCTACCGCCGTGCGTGTGCAGGCGGGGGGGAGACGTTAATCATCGGGATCGGAGTGGCTCCCGGGGGGTTACCGGCAGAACGTTTTGGGGTTTGTGTTCCGTCCCCTACGAGTCGCTGTACCAGTAGGTCTACATTGGCCGTGCGCGTGCTCAGAGCTTCACAGAGAAAGGGAGACCGGAAAGGCCACAAAACATGCAAGGTATCTGCAACAGGAAGTATTTTTAACGGATAAACTATGGGTAGTTTGAAGAATAACCCAATTGCTTAATCAGGTGCCTTTTATTAAGTAAAAGTCACCACGAGTTCCCAACCTAGCTGCTCTATTTCTAAGTCGTCTCAGGTCACTTTGCCTGATCAACAAGCTGATGTGTGCGACCGAGTCGTGGACCGTTTGAAGACACTTTTCTTGCTGCGTTAGTTCTTCCGCCGCTTTGGTTCCTGTTGCCTGAGGAGCGTGAGGTCAGCGGGTGCATCCGAAGGAGGGAGCGATAACAGTGTGTGTGTGTGTGTGAGAGAGACATATTTGCAAAGGGGTCAGCCAGAGTTTCCCTGTCAGTGAAGTGCGCGTCTGTGGGATAATTTGTTCCTCTCCAGTCTGCGGCTCAAATTCTTCTTTTAATCTGAAGCCACGAGAGAAGATGCTTGAATTGTTCGGCTCTCACGCTCGTGGAAATTCAGGACGGGTCTTAAACGAAGTCATGAAATTAGAGCCGACGCTGTGGACCAACAGACTGCCCTGTTCTTCTGCTATCCACATTAAAAGAGAAGACATACGGCGAGCTCTTGGGCCCGCCCCCTTTTAACGTCCTCATTTCCTGCCGTGGGACTCCATTAGCCGCCGTGGAGCAGATAATGTTTGGGACCAGCGCTTCCAACTGTATTTGTCAGACAGAATGAGCCTTTACATTAGGCACGGAATCAATAGACACACACGGAGCTTCCAGTTGGAGGCCAGAAGCAGAGGCCTAAGTGCTAAGATAATAACCATTTGATTGAGTTAACGGGGGCAGTTGTGTTGAGGCGCGCTGCTTTGCCTCACGGGGCGATGTTAGCGTGTCTACTCTTTCGTGAACATCTACTTCATTGTTGCCCATGAAGAAGACGCAGCCAGTGTGTTTTAGTTTTAAAATAGAAATGGAGCGTAATCAGCCTCATGTGGCGCATCAAGACAAACGCACAGGGCTCATTTGGGGCATTAACGGTATCTCATCCGCTCGGCACATACTGTAAATCACAGGAGCCGTGCGAGCGCTCAACGACATCCTGAGCATAAATCATAAATCAAAAGGGAGGTTATGAAACGAGGCAGCTGGTCGTCTTCTTGTTTTTATTTTTATTTGGCCCGAGGGCCGGAAGCTCCGGTCTGGTTGCGTCAGTTTGCTGCTGTTGTGTGCGCTCCTTCGTTGCCTTGGTTATAAGGCTGCAAAGGAGGGGAGGACTTTTGAGAGGTCTCTGCTTTTATTTCAAAAAAAAAAAGAAGAAAAACGTGTCAGCGTTTTCTGCAGAGTGGCTCTGACAAGACAGACGCATTAGGGGATCTCGACAACGCCTCCCGATCAGACGGCTATGTAGGCCAAGAGACCCATTTGCATTTCGCTCTGATAACTACGGAATAGAAGAAAAAAAAGAAAGAAAGAAACTGACTCCGGAAGAAGCTCTTTGAAGCTGGGCCCCCGATTTAGGTCATTTTAGAATGGTTAAACAACAGCTTTGGGTGGACCGGTGGTCCCGGCGTACACATCCCCTCTCGGAGAGAAGCCCCCCACGAACGAAGCCACCCCGGCCTCCGAAGCTCATTTGGAGAAAAAAAAACGTCCCAGATGCTAGAGGTAGTTTTATAAATGGATTGTGTCAACTGTGCTGCGTCTCACCCCGATGCTGTATTTGCGTTCGCTGTGTGCAAAAGGACGGGCTTTTGTTGCAATGTTGTGCGATACTTTCGGAAGGGTTCACAGTCCTCATGAGAGAAGCTGCTGTGCGGTGTTCCCAACAAAGGGAATTGATGCAAAGTGGTTTTAATGAGCCAAATGTTTTAGAGCTTTAAACCCTCCACAGAAACCGGCTGATCAATTGGTTTTTCTGTGCACATTTTTCCAAACGGGAAGGCTCAAAACCCGCTGTGCTCCTCGACTGCTCTCATTGTGCCCTCATGCTTCATCGGCTCACTGCTGTGTGTGTGTGTGTGTGTGTGTGTGTGTGTGTGTGTGTGTGTGTGTGTGTGGTCTTGCGCACGGGCCTCAACACGCCTCCAGCGTGCGATTGCATCTCTAAAGCATGCGTACGTCTCTGTGTGCCCCGATGATTTGTTTGTAGGCACCCCTCCGGCTTACGCTGTGCGTAGGTGCATTCATACATAGAACGGTGTGTGTGTGCTCGCCCGCAATGAGGATTCAGCCACTAGATGTGGAGGCGCTCTCCACAGATGGCCTCTCCAACACTACTCGCCTCCCGTCTAAGGCTCCAAATCTCCCTCCCTCTCCCTCTGCAGCCGTCCTGCATGCAAACCGCTTGCCAAACAATTGCGTAATGCATCATTTCGGAGACCTCGGGCACACACGCAGGATGGGAATGAGGCTGCGAGGAGAAACGTTTTGTTAGTTAACCACGTTCCATGTCCCGTTTGATCTCACATTCTCCTTTTTTAACGTCCACTTATCAGGCGAGCCTCGTCATCGGTGAACCAGTGGGCGGAAGGATCGGGCCGGCGGTGCCGCTTTACAGCGCCTCACATGCTCGGCAGGGAGAAGTGGACGTTCCACATCTATAGAAATAATCACGTAGCCACGCTGTGCTTGAGGTCGAAGCCAGGGGACTTTTTTGAGCATTGGGGGGGCGGCGAGTGCGTACAGAATCCACCGCGCCGTTGTGTTTGCCAAAGCAGATCTCGGCTTGTCGATGTTTACCCTCCCGAGGCCTGAAGCGAGCCTGTGCAGGTACATCACATGTCTCCCACTCGAGCGGCGCCAATCCTAAACGGGGATTATTGGCTCTAGATCATGTCCATTTTTCTTTTCTTCCCCTCTCATTAATCTTCCTCACTGTCTCTCTCTCTTCATATACGACCCTCCCTCCACTGCCCGGAATCAGGAAGCCTCGACCCGTCTCCCAGCTCGTCTCGCAGCAGCAGGTAACGCAGCAGTTTGTGTTGCCCCTGCAGCCCAAAAAGGAAAAGAAGGAAAGAGTGGAGCGGGAGAAGAGCGACCGAGAGCCGGCACTCAAGAAGAACAGCCACAAGAAGATGAGGTAAAGAAGCCGACACGAGAGAAGTGTTGATTATGTTGCTCTCACTCGTGTGTGTGAATCGGTTTTAGTGTTTTTGCAACAGGACCTTGTATAATAAAACAAAGGTCTTTGCGCTGTCTCTCCAGGCCAAGGTTAAAAAACATCGACCGGAGCAGCGCGCAGCACCTGGAGGTGACGGTTGGGGACCTGACGGTCATCATAACGGACTTTAAGGAGAAGGCCAAGCCGTCGTCGGCCCCGGCGACGGCGTCCAGCACCGCGTCCACGGCCGACCTCCACAGCCAGAACGGCTCCAGCTCGGAGAACACGGAGAAGGGGCTCTCCCGCTCCTCCTCGCCCAGGGGGGAGGGCAGTTCCGTCAACGGGGAGTCCCACTGAGTCGCCCCCGCCTCCCCATCCATCCGCCCGTACCTCCACCCACCCACCCACATCTCATCCGTAGGCCCGCAGGTCACACAAAACCCTTTGACCCTTGATATTGCAATTTCAAAAACTTGTGACCAAATGCCGCCTTTTCAGGAGGTTTAAAGATCTGCATTAAGAAAAGTCCATATGAAAAGACCATTTGCTCCGCGTTGGAAGACTTTACTGATCTACATCTTCACCTGAACGTTTGGTGCTATTGAAAAAGATCCCGCAGGCTTTCCCAGACATTGCTCCCGGGAATGTTCCCAAAGACTAAGCGCTTTTATTCTGGACAAAGAACTTCCTCAGAACTGATCTGAGCCGCGTCTGAATAAATGTTCGAGCGAGCTTGACTGTGCTTCGCGGTTTCCTTCGGATGCATCTGGCTGGTCAAGGCTCCTGTTCTTTTCTGCAATGTTGTGCAGCCCCGACATCCCCTTCAGTGGCCGCCGTCACCCTTCACCTACCCGATGTGAACCCGAAGCACACATTTCGCATTCTGTGTCCCCTCACGCAACCTTTCGCTCCTGCTCTCGACTCCTCCACGCTTGTGCTAGCGGACTGCCTCTGCTGTGGGGGGGGGGACTATATTTTTTGGACAGAGCATAGCGGATGTACTCCTCCTGGCACCACACAGCGTTTTTTGGGAGGGGGGGGGTGTAAGGTAATGTTCTGAGCGGGTTGATTTGTTCAGGTAATGATTGTTGTGCCCGTATAAGAGCATCGGGCAGGTTTTGATAAAATGGTGCAGGAAGGTATAGTATATGATATTAAAAGGATGATACTGGTGCCATCATCTACTCTCCTCCTCCTATTACTCTCCTTGGTTTCTTTACACAGTCATGCATCTGTTAAGGTACAATCAGGGTTACGTTCTCCTTGCCACCATTCCTTTTAAACCGGACAAAAACCACAAACCGGCATTAAGTGATATTTTTGCAGCTGATACAGCGTTGTGATTGACGGTCAATCTTAAAGTGGTTGATCGTTCCGTATCTGTCACAGTTTAAAGTACACAATACTGACAAAATGTGACACTAATCACGGGCGTCGCACACAGTCGGGACAGTCAGTCCCACGGCCACCACAGAAGAAGATGCAAATAAGGCATCGGTTCTGCACACATCTGTGTTTCGAGGAAAGAAGGAGGTTGTTTTCGTTATGAGGAACTAAACAAGGACGGCAGTAAAGGGACTGTAGCTGCTCCGCAAACAAAAGCTGCACCCACTCGGTGTCACAGTGGAGAACCGGGAGGTGCCTATGCTGTTCTGCCCCCCCCCCTCCCAAACCAACCCCTCCTCCCTCTGTGTGGACCCAGTTTGGACACAGCATGGTGCTTTTAAGACGCATAAAGGAGCTTTTGACTTCTGGACACGTGAACGTGCCGCGCGACGGACTTGAGGAGCGTTTGAAATTCCTCTGTTTTGACTCGGGGGGGGGGGGGAGCTTTAGAATACACTGAACCCTCAGCAGAGCCACCATTGGGATCGACCCGACTACACACTAACTTATGAAACCTGTAGATTAATACACAGATGAAATGGCTATTTCTAAAATATTGTACTACAACGTTTTGATGTGGTTGTATTATCCATCATAGCAGTGTTGTTGTCGTCGAGAATTTTACGTTTTTGACATTTTTAGCACAGATCCTGAGAAACTGTCACGGCATGATGATTATATTGCGGTCTCGGTATATTGTGGGACAGGCTGCGTCTCTTTTTAGTTTGTAAAGCATCGTTGTATGTTTCCGAGATGTCAGCGGGCCGCCGCGCTAGCTGGGACTAGCTGCGTGGGCCCGCGGCACCCGTTCCCCACAGATGTCCGTTCCTTTGGCCGTGGCAGACACGGAAAGGACTTAAATATATGTTTTGGTTGTCACCTGTTAAATCTTTTTTTTTTTGCTTCAGTTGTTTTAAAATGTGTAAACTTGTTTATTATATGTCTGAATAAGAAAAATGCAAAAGTAAGAGTCCTTTTTACTTCTCGTCATTAGTCAGCTTCCACTTTGTTTTCATCTCCATCCGGTGAACGACATCATATCTGCTGCTCATCCTCGCCACGCCAACGTACCCGGGGTCAAACGACGCCGGATCGCGTTGAGAAGGCTGTTCGGCCATACAAATGCATAAGAAGCATAATGTGAGGGTTACACACTTGATTAATCAAACAGTCCATTAGTTAGTAACCTCATGAAAATGCAGTTGATGTCCAGGGCCGTTGTCGTGGTGGAGCCACATCACTAAAGGCGACTCGTCACTTAAAGCCATGAATGGGCTCTTTTCAGAGGTGAAATCCATTGAAGGTTGCTGCAGACACACAGCCTGAGGAGGGGGGAGGAGGGAGGGAGGAGGATTCAACTCGGCGTGTCGCTCCCACCCATCCCCCATTTAAGGTCCCGACCTCCTGCTTCTGTTGCAATGAATAGCATCAAGTGAAAGAAAAGTGGGGGGGAGAGACAAACCCCGGGAAAGGTTTATGTGCTTCAAAATAAAAGCCTAAATGCGTCTCAAAATGGTTAAGGAAAGCCAGTTAACGTTAATACACGACGAAGATTACTTGCATGTCTTTTGTATGATTTCTTAGAGATTGGCGAAACATTTCCCCCTTCCATCACAATATGGTCATCAAGGTCGAGAGTACAAGCACACACGAGATATCTTGGATTTACTTGCGTTAGCGTGATAATTACCGAATGTGTGCATTTGTGTGTAAACTGCATACATTTCGTAACTAAATTATCCAATTATCCAGTTTTTACAGAAATGCATACTTCTACAACGCCATGGTCCATTTAAGAAAAAACAAGCGCGATCGCTCACTGATCCGTGAGAATACAATCCGGACAAAGATATAAAAAAGAACCAAAAATAAAATGAGAACAGATGAATAATACATTGAAAGTCTTATGTGAATATGACAGATGAGCGTAGCAATTTGCTGCATGGTTTGAAACGCAAAAACATTTATCCTGATTCCGTCAGACCAAAGAAAATCAAAATAGGTCACAAAAGCTACACACGCATCCCCCCCGTCAGCATTTAAATTAAAAAATATTTGCGTGAAGAAACTGCAGATCTTCACAATGACCGCCAGAGGGACAAATTGACGCCTCGGGTGAGTTTTATTTTTTACACTTTTTTTACCGGAAGTGCGTTGCCGCTGCGTCGAGCTTCGCAGCACACACTATTGAGCTCGGCTTTCTATGTGATGACCCTAGCAACGCGTTGTGTTTTCCACCTAAAAAATGCGGCGTTACATTCGTGCACTGGTGTTGTGCACGGTGTTCGCCGTGTTTTCGGGCTTGTATGTTTACAGTAAACTCTTTTACGCGGATGTGTCGCTCGGTGGAAACGGACCAAAGAGGGGTTTCATCCCACCGAGAGTCCCCGGAGGACGGCGAGGTGCTGCGGACAAAACCGGGCACCAAAACCCGCGCTGGTACAATAGGTAAGTAACTAATAAAAACAAACATTTTGTCTCTTGCTTCAACGAGGCAAAACAGAGGTGAAATCAAATCCATTCTTGGGGATGTAGCTCTTTATCTGAAGCTACTTTGATGTATCGGAATGTAACGCGAGACTTGGGCAGGTGTGAGAACTCTCGCGGAGACTCACTCGAAGTTTGCATTTTAATTGATACGTCACTGAAGTTGTCACAGAGACAGTTGTCATGCAAAGATCACAGATACACTCCCACGGGTTGATTTATCACTTTATACATATGGCAAAGAAATCAAGTAAAGGCGTGTGGTGAGACACATGTGGAGTGATTGCTGAAAGCTTTACTACAGACACACAAAGTGTTTATGGGCCTGCCAGATGTTCGAGTAGTAGGATGAAAGGGGTGTAATCAGCCGCACAGCAACAGCTGTAATCTAAGTGTTGTTAGTACAGAAACAAGGAAATGTACAGACGATTTAAAGTTTTAGCTTCCTGAAGATTGAGGTGCTGATCAGTTTTGCAACCTCACAGATGCATGATCCAAGAATGCATTTGTCACATACTCAATTTGTACGGTGGAATGCGGATAATATGCTAAACTGGCATAAAGGTGATGTTAAAACCCTCTTCTGGTTGCTTAACGTTGGTGTCCTTCAAGAACCGTGTGCCCTGAGAGGTCAGTGACATGGACATCATCACTCCTCCTCTCATCCAGGTACATCATGCGTCAGTCGGAGGCGGCCGGTGGTGGCAGCAGCGTTCAGAGCAGACCAGAACCCCCCATGCATCTGGCCGTGGTGGCCTGCGGGGAGAGGCTGCAGGAGACCCTCACCATGATCAAGTCTGCCGTGCTCTTCAGCATCAAGCGTCTCCAGCTGCACATCTTCGCCGAGGATCAGCTTCACGCCGGCTTCGCGGAAGCTGTGAGTTGCTTCCCGTTGGCTGCAAACCGCAGGTCTTTGTTTTGATCGTATCCGGGATAAATATACCCGTGAATATTCAGTTAATGTGTCGTCTGTGTTCCAGTTGGAGTCGTGGCCCGGCTTTATTCGCTCCAGGTTCAGCTTCACCGTGTACTCCATCAGCTTCCCCAGTGAGAACGCAGCAGAGTGGAAGAAACTCTTCAAACCCTGCGCCTCCCAGAGGCTCTTCTTACCCGTGAGTTTCAGATAGAAAAATGCAGACGTGACATTATTAGTTAACATAACCAGAGTTTTTAAAAGGTCAGTGCATCATCTGCGCGTCCTTTTTTCCGATTCCGTGCAGCTGATCCTGAAGGACGTCGACTCGGCCGTGTACGTCGACTCGGACATCCTCTTCCTGCAGCCCGTCGACCGCCTGTGGGCGTTCCTGCCCCAGTTTAATTCCTCCCAGCTGGCTGCCATGGCCCCGGAGCACGAGGAGCCCCGCATCGCCTGGTACAACCGCTTCGCCCGCCACCCGTTCTACGGCAGGACGGGCATCAACTCGGGCGTCATGCTCATGAACATGACCCGGATGAGGAACGTGTACTTCAAGGTGACGCACCGCACAGGAGATGTGTTACTGTGTTAGTGTACTACTTTTAATTGCCCACAAGATGTCCTCCTTCTGCTGCTGCAGATGTTCTGCTCAGGGGTCCGAGCCAGGAGACTTACAATGTTGTGTCACGGTAAAAGGCATGTTTCTTTTGTGTGTGTTGATAGAACGACATGACGGGTGTGGGGCTGCGCTGGGAGGAGCTGCTGATGCCTTTACTACAGAAATACAAACTCAACATAACCTGGGGCGACCAAGACCTTCTCAATATCATTTTCCATCACAACCCAGGTAAGGCTGCAGGCACACACAGCAGCAGTGTATATTACACCTTTACTCATATAAACAGATAAACTGGGGGGGATAGTTTGCTATTGACAGGCGGGGGTCTACGGCACGTCCCGCTCGGTTTGACTTGTTTCTGTCTTTGCACACTTCGGTTCACAGAGTGCTTGCTGGAGTTTCCGTGCCAGTGGAACTATCGGCCGGATCATTGCATCTACGGCAGTAACTGTGCGTCAGCGGAGGAGGACGGCATCAACATACTGCATGGAAACCGAGGGGTCTTCCACGACCACAAACAGCCTGCGTTCAGGGCGGTTTACGAGGCCATACGTAAGGTGAGCATCGGTGGAGTATGAGAGAGCCTTGAATACAGTACGGGCCCTTTTTCTTATTTTGCATCACGTTATGCCACACGGATTTAATATGGTGGGATTTTTGTACTGTTAAGACAAAGTGTGAGTCATAAGTCATTGATGACCAAAAATAGATTTTTTGTAAATGCAGACAAACTGCAATTGTCGTGTTAAGTACAGAAACATGTCAATACGTGTAAATATTAAAAGCAGCCTCTGAGGTCTCAAAGGCTTTATCCCAGCCCAAAGACATTATACAGGCAGATATTGATGGTAGCAGAAAGAGAAATGGATCGTCACTCCCATTATTAATAGAGAATGCATCGCGCCGCTTTGTGACTGGGAACACTTGCTGTCTTGTCGGGAGTTTTTTTTTTACACGGCCGCAAATCGGCGTTTGGCGCGTTCTCGTTTTCATTTCCACACACGTTGATTCCTCAAAACTTGGCAAACGGCATTCCGGGAAATACAGCGTCTACCCGATAAGTGACTGAACGCACCCCGTTCCAAGCCTCCTGGGCAGAGTCAAGCGCAAAGAAAGGAGCAGCTGAGCCTTTTCAAAGTGTTGGTGAAGGTGTAATTTAGTGGACCATCTGATGAGAGGAGCCCTTTTACAACCCTGCCCCGTTCCTTCACCCTCCCAGATGAGATTTTTAGATTAGTGCTGACCCTAAAGACCGGAAGTGGTCGTAACATCAGTCTGCCTGCATTGGAAAACAAATGTCCTGCCCTTTCCAGAAGGTTGGCGCGAAAGTTAATTTCCCCCATGAGGATGTTTTTTTACGGCTTGTTTACCAGCAGTGCGACGATATTGACGACACCAGTGGCATTTGCTTAATGAAGCCATCAACGTCGGGAGTCTCATTGCTTTCCTATCCACTAAGCGCCGAGCGTAGATCCCAGCGATGGCGGAGGCCCACCGGGTCCGCGGCTGTGTAGGACGGGATCGATCGCAGCAGTAAGACACATAAGGGAGCGTAAACCCTAAAGGCCCCTAGCATGCACTAACCCCGCCCATCTTTTTCAATGGCTCGCGTTGGGTATTGATACTCGGATGGATTTGTGATTAAGTCGAGTCGGCCAGGAGTGCGTTTCATCTCACTGCTGTTGAGTGCTGACCGGGTTCATACAGTCAGGAAACACCTGGTAAGTGGGTGGTATTTCAATTCCCACGGCCCGGATGGGTTTGGGATTAATAAATAAAGAGTTTTGCTTCACAAAAAACCTCCTATAAATCTAATTGTGGTTCAGTCGATCAGCTGTGAAAAATATCTGTGCTGCCTGAAGAGAATTATGTTCCGGCAAGTCCGATTCATCCCTTACGTGAGGGGGACGCAATGACCTTTTATTTATTTTTTTGACGTATGCACGAATTTTTCAGAGAATGTATGGTCATGAAAATGTAGCCTCAAAGGTTTGTACAAGTCTGGGTTCCAATGAATGAATCCTGACGTTTCCCCGGTATGAAATTTACCACAGTTGCGGGGGCCGTTAAAGCTTGAGAACGGAGCGCTGCTGCATTCGCCCCACTTCCTTTAAGCTTTACTGTTCTGCATGAGTGTGGAAGTTGAACTACCTTCCCTTGTCTGTTCCCTGAAAATTCACTACCCGCCAACTTGATTGGAAATGGCCCCCACCTCACCGAGAAGCCGAGATGGGGCCATGACTTAATCCCACAGCAGGACTGATGAAAATGTAATATATGTTGGCTTACAACTATTGATTTTTGTAGTTGTTAATCCTTTCTAGTTAATCTCAAAATGTCTCAGATCCCGATGGGACATCTTCAAATTGCTCTTTTGTCCGAGCAGCAGTCCAAAGCAGCACAGCAGCGAACAATTTGACCAATTTTCATTATGTAGTGTCATCATAAAGTAATTTTTTCCTATTACGATAAGCTTAATCTTCTTAATAAACTGTATCCAAATGTACACAGATCAGCAGCCTCGCTCTGTGTCCTCACACAAAGAGACGTCGCCACCTGTCCGTCATAAAGCATCTCCTCCCTCTGCTGCAAAAAGCCGCGCCCAGGAAGCAGTAGTAAAAAAATGTACAACTGGCCGAGTCCAACAGTGCCTCATCAGCCTCCCAAAATCAATATACCAACTGTAAATGCAACTTTATGACCTCGCAGATGTGTGCGCGTAAGACTGGGCTCATAAAAACGCCATTCTCTTTGTGACCCAATACCAGGGACCCAACCCAAAGCAAATGAGCCAGCATGAAAAAAAATAAAAATGGTAATTCCCCTTTGATTTCCTCGGAGCATCGTAAAGGCTCCTCCATTATCAGGAAGACACGAAACGTCTCCTGTAATCCCCGGTTATCACTGCACCGTAAGCCTATAGCATAAAACCCACTCCCACCGAGCCGGGCCGCTTTATGCTTTCACCCAGCTGACCGATCCGAGTCCCGTCTGACTTCTGCTTTTCCTCCGGATCCGTTCCACTGCAGCGGGGGGGGGGGTTCACAGCTTCCCCAGGTCTCCCTCCTACCTTATGAATCTGTGATCTAAACGCTACGTCAGCAAACCCAAGCAGTGAACCGCTCTTGTCGTTCCAGTACTCGTTCGGAGCCGACCCGGTGCCGTCGCTGCTGGGCCCGCTGGAGGAGGCGCTGTTGAAGACGACAAACACTTACTGCGGCAAATCCCACGAGCTTCTCACCAGGAGACTGGCCCGCAGCCTGGAGAACGTCCAACGCGGCGAGGCCCGCGGGCCCGGGAGGAGCGCCTGAGCTCGGTAACCGGCGAGAACGTGCGCAGTTGGCTCCTCGTCCCGCTGAACGGTTCCTGTGGCAAAAGGGCTGCAAGCAGGTTCAACAGCTGCTCCGTAGAAAGCGTCGGGATCGTTGCTCTGCTGCTCTCAGCTTGCTCTCCGTCAGAGCATGAGCTAAATGCCTGAAACGTGCTCATGTTATGACATATGGACATTCCGTTTATTCCATGTTTCCATTACAGACTTTTGCAACCTTTTTTATATTTTATTGACAAACTGGGGATTTTTATTTAGGTCTCTTTTCAGCGCCTTGTGGTTGCTGACACAAAGGCAAATAATCCTTACGATGCAAAACACCTGTTTGGAAAAGCTGCTCTTGACTTTCCATATTGGAGAATTCACTGAAGAATAAAAGAATCATTTGAGAACTGGACAAAGGTGTCCAACAGGGAACATTTTGACAGATGTATGCACAGGCCCTTTTTTTCCTTTTTTGAGCTTCAGAAACCACTGAAGCACCAAAAAACCCAACACGCTCCAGAGAACACGCACCGAGTGTTGATAACTTCTGCGTGTGGTTAGAGGCGAAAACGATGGGGTCTCCTGTGGGTTTGTGCTGCTCGGTTGTTTTATCTGTTACACAGATGACCTCGACCCAATATATAAAACGAGGGGCCGACGTTTACGAGGTGCGATTGTGTCGTGAGTCGGTCGGGACTCGACACAAACAACTGTTTTGGGTTTTACACATTTCCTGATGTTATTTTGGACATGTTTCTGTAAGTAAGTTTGCAGTACAAAGCCAGGATACATAATGTAGAACAAAAAAAAATACTAATGAGAATAAGCTACATTTCCTCTAATGCCAAAGCATCTTTTTTTATGGGTTTTGAACCATTGAATGTATTTCGAAGGCCAAGGACTGACATGTATATGATCGGTCCTCATGACGGTACGGGTGCTTTGTTAAAGACGGCCTTTGTGACATGTTTACCTCTACATGAGTCATGTGCTGTTTGTGTCTGTATCCATGTCTGTTGTTTTTACATTAAATATCATTGTGGTGGATCTGTACTGCAGTGTGTCTTGTTTAACCACCAGAGGGTAGCATGTATGTAATATTTTGGTATTAGTGCTTAGGGATGAAAGATATTGTCCTTTTGAAAGAGGAATACACATCTATAAGGAAAGCAACATACATTTAACACAAAAAATCTTTTTTTTCTTTCTTTAACATACACATCTTTGTTGGTTTATTCTCAAAAGATGTAGCGTGAGGAAGATTGATGCTCCATTTCTGTCGCCTCCTCAGGCAGATCGATGCACCTTCCAATAATCTATGAGGCGACCACTGGAGGTGCTTCACCACGCCTGCCTCCAAGTCGCTCATAAAGTGGAAGTGATGGACCAATAACACGGTGCCTGTCTGGGACGACATCGCATTGACTATGTAGAATGAGTTCATGCTTGATCCCATTAGGCGGGGGATACACCTGTCTATTAATGGCTGCAGAGGTAGTTTGATTCATTGCACCGGGCGTATCCTTCATTCATCACTATATGTCCGTATGAGAGCTTATCAATTACCTTTATTGACCCGTGTGCTTAAATGCAACATGTAACGGGCCGGGTCCCGAGAGGGGAGGGAGACAAGAGCTCCGAAAAAAATCCAATATCCTCCGTCCACACCAAGGTTTCATTTTTTTTTTTTTACTGAAACTACATCGTAATAAACTACTCAGATTTGTATTCCTTTTGTGCCATCACGGCTGGAGGAGAAACTATTCAAAATAAAATGTGTGACCTTCAGCGTTATGAGTGGGGTCAGAGTGGGAGATGAGGAGCAAATGGTCACCTCGCAATTAAATGTGTGTGTGTGCTGAAGAGAAAAAAATAAATATATTTTTTAAATCAAGTCCGAATAAAGGCTGACGGAGTTTGTTTCCGATAAAAGAAAAGGACACGGCTGTCGCACCCAATACAGCAATTGGAGCACTCTACTTCTTCCGAGTTCCATCTTTTGGTTATTGCTTTTGAAAATAGAGTTGCACCTTTTAAAATGGTGTCATCTAAGGAAAGAGAAGCATGAACAGAACACACTATGTGCACCACTGCGCCCGGCACACTGTGTAGCAGTGAAGGGCTTGCAGGGTTAATTAGTTAATTAGCAACTTGTTTTTCATAAACAACCACTGAGGTTAAATCTGAAATCAACAGAAACGTGTGCAACAGTGCATAATGAGACATGTACTTCATCGCCCCTTTTAACTGGTCCGGGGGGGGATCTTTTGCTGCCATCAACATGGGCCACATCACCACAGTGACTCTACAACAGCCTGAATACAGCACAAAACCTATCGCGGATCTATAGAGCGCCAATAAAGCACAGGAAAAACCTTAGAAGTGGGTCTCATTAGAAAGCAATTTATATTTCAATATGCGCTCTGTGTGCTTTTTCCCGGCTTGTGTATGTATGTGTGTGTGTGTGTGTGTCATTTATAGTGAGTGTGCGCTTTGATCTAAAAGTAGGAGTTCCTTTTATTCCTTCGACTTGCCGTACGCAGAGACAAGACGTCATCTGTTGGATGCATAAGGCACACGCGTTCAAACGCAGCCAGCAGATAGGCACAAATTTAAGCATGTATGTCGTGCCGTGTTGGATTGCACAGCAGGCGGTGTGTGCGTGTGGAGGGTGGGGGGGGCATTTACATGTTGTAATAGGGTCTACATATCACTGCTGAGGCACATGAGAGAGAGAGAGAGAGAGAGAGAGAGAGATTGATGGGTGTTTCAGCAGATTGGTTTATTTACCTCGCAGCTTGTTTACCACTCAGACCCGGTCCAACTACCATCAGTCTCTCTGCCAAAACTTTCCATATTTTCACATTTCACCCAAGAATTTACCTTTGAAATCCTGTGCAGTGTCTGACCTAGTTTCTCATGGTGGATTTTCCTCCCCCTCCCTATTTTACACCCATCAGAGGGCCCACAAACTTCCATAGACAAAATTCAAAAATACCCAAAAGCGTTCATCAAAAGATGCTCATTTCTTTTTCAAGAAATGGCAACAGCATGTTTTTAAAGAAAGATCGCGTTGCACATATTTTAACCTCCAAACATTTCAAGAGCGCCACTGTGAGAGTGTGCAAGCGCCTCACAAATGTTCGCCCTGAGGACGAGAGAGATGAGACCATGGGAACACATAAGAGCCGCGAGACCAACGCATCCGAGCGCCATAACGAGACGTTATTGTCTCCTCGTGCATTTGGGGTTGTTGAACCGCCGCTCGTGACAAAACAGGATGCCCTGGAGGGGGTTTTCAAGTGTTTTGAGCACCTGGATTTGCTGCATAAAAGATAAAAGCTAGCGACCCTGCCCAAAGCACACACGCGCCCCGGTCTCCTCTTCAGAGTGAGTCGCGTCGTTCTTTATGGAAAACCTTTCAATGTCGCTTATCAGCTGTGTATAGAAGCTCGGTGCAGAGCATCTGTTTGCATTGTAATCATGGATCTACCACCTGCTGGATTTTGAGAGTTTTACACTTCGGTTTTTTGCATGTCTTAACCCAGAAGTTTGTTTCACGGGTTCTGATGTTACCTTTGGACTGAGCCAGAGCCAACTATGTACCCATATTCTCATCTAACATAAGAAAGTGAGTAAGCCCAGTTTCCAAAATGTTGAAATGTTCCTTTAAAATCTTTAGATGTTTGGGAATCTATGTGTTAAACACAGACGTTATTTCCAATTTAAAATATTCCTTTTTCCAGAGAATGTCAGCAGCATGGGAAGTCAAAGCTGCACATTTCTATGCACACGTGCACAATAGACCTACACACAGGAAATGCACACACACACAGCTCTCCCCGCTGTATACATCCCATATGAAACTTAAAGCCGAAGCAGAGGGGCGCTGAGATAGAGGACCTGACATCAGAAATGAGAGTGACCATGGCGCTTTCATATCCCAACGTACCCTGATCCTCCTCCTCGCCTCCTCATCGCTCAACAATAGATTTCCCATTACTGCTCCATCCTCCGCTCCATCCTTCAATCACAGCTCGACAATATTTACCCCCGGAGTGGTCTGTTTTCAGAACAGACCCCAGAGCGTGCTTGCGTGTGTGTGTGTGTCGTGATGTTATGTGAATGTTTGGTTATGTGCTCATGAGCGTGTGGGTCACGTGAGTGTGCAGTGAAATCTATAGCTTTATTGTATTCCGAAAAACCCAGAGCTTATCTTTTCCTTTTGCCCCTCTATTTTTTTTTTTTTTTTTTCACCCACTCTCCCAAGTCGCTCTCACTCGCACACTCGCATCCTTCCCCTGTGAGCTTTTTCAATTAGGTAATTAGAGCAGCAGTGAATAGAGCCCGTCTGGACACTGGCTCTCTATTGTAGAAGCACCTGTCCCCCCATAGACAGCAATTACCTGACAGGCTGGAGGGGATTTGCAGGCTATTGTCTGTGTCCATATAATTGTGTGTGTGTGTGTGAAACAGCGACTGTGTCTGTGTGTGTCTGCTCAGTTTGTGTGTTTGTGTGCACATTTGGGCCCTACGGGGTCTTTAGTGTGTGTGTGTGTGTGTGTGTGTGTGTGTTGGAGCTGGCAGCGTACTTGGGGAAATTGTTCTCTATTTTTCATATTCCACAACAGTGATGGAGGGACATTTTCCCTTTTATTTGATGTAAATTATTTGTAGTACCGGTGTGGACACACTTTCTCACTGAATGAGAAAAAATGTCCCAACTTTTAACTGTTACTGTATGTATATAAAAAGAAAAGAAACAGACCTAACTTACATTGTTTCACATGATGAGGGGTGATCGGCGTGCAGTGGGAGCAGACCAGCAGGATTTCGGCATGGAGCAGATCAGATCCAGCTGGCGGCCACAGGCGGCACGCTCATTGCGTTGTGAAAATGTTTCAAGCCCTGCTACGCCGAAAATTACACGGTGTTTTTTCCCCCCAGCGTGAGCACAGAGTCAGCGGAAAGAAGAAGAAGAAGAGAACCGGAGCTGCTGTAGAATGCTACGAGGGGAAGCTCCCATATCTGGCCACAGCAAATCAACTTCCCCCAACTTCATATGAGGACAGCATTAAAAAGAATGATGATGAGGTGATGATGTTTAGTTTTTAGTGTTGTGTATGTGTTGTTAGCGGAGTAGCTTGACAGCTGAAATGAGTGACAGGCTTCAACGCTTCTAAGCCAGCAGTTACCACTGCTCATCCTTCTGAAATGATCTTTATTGTTATTTGGTTCATCACCAAGTATCATGTGACATTCAGAACACAATTGCACAGCCCTTGTGGAGTGTGACCCTGCTGCTTTTATGTTGGTGACGTCGTCAGATCACCAATGTGTCCTTTTCACACCGTTTGTTTCGATCTCCAGGTAGCTTCTGGGAACCTTTCTGTTTGCATGGCACTGCTTTACTTTTTAGAAGCTGCAGTGGCTGTACTCACTTGAGAGATTAAATCTACTACATTATGACGCACTTGATACGGTATTTCTGTCGCAAATTATGAAAATAGTAGAGCGAAGTGCACCCCCAACCACGCGGCCTCGGAGTGTTTGTCCAAATGACGCCCCGCTGAGTGTCGTGCTGGTGGCTCGTTCTGGCATCTCCCCGGTGTCTCAATTTACGCCCCGGGTCCATTTTATAGTGAGCCCCTATTGATCTGCTCGAACACACATGTAAGGCTCTAAAGCTCCGTTAAGACGCGGCAAAATGTCGTATCGACGGCGCGTGATTGTGCGTGCGGCGCCTCGCATTCTCAAACCTCTCGAGGTGGCAAAAACTACGTCAGTAACACCCGCATCTGTTCCCATGACGATAACGATCCGCTCGGTTAATTAAAGCCCTCCGCTTCCCCGTTGTGTTATGTGACGGACAGGTTAAAGTGTGCCATTAGGGCTCAGGCGTGTGCAAAGACACACACGTAGACACAAATACCATACTTTAGTGGTGCGACTAAGTGGAAAGGCTCTAAATGCTCCACTCTTCCTTCAATCTGTTTACGGCTCTCTTATTTCCCCTGGTAAACACGCTGAAAGCATGAAGACGTTTTGCCGTC